TCTGGTACAGCCGATCGAAAAGTAGCTCCTTGGCTATTTTTCGTGCGGCTCTATCTAAGCATGGGATAACCTGCCCCCTATAATTGCGCCTTCACAACAAGCACATCTGCTGAGCAAAATCCCGGTGGGGTGGGTAAAAGCAGTAATCTGCCCACAGAAACAGCTATCAGTTTCATCAAATTTCATCATGTTCGATGCTAAATCAGATGCAAATTAGGAATCATAGCAAGATAAGGCAGTGAGCGAAGGTTTTTTTTTTTTTTTTTTTTAGGCAATGAGACCTTGGACACTTTTTTGGAGGACACGTTTCGGGAAATAAAAAAGGACGGCCTATTGCCCCAACAGGCACCAACAAATCTGGTTTACAAAATCTCCATCCCTGCCTCCTCACCATCGCGTAAATTCATTCGAAATTCACTCCAGACCCCAACTTGTGCGTCAGCTTCAGAAATTCCGGAACTACCAAGCGAATTCTGGAAACAGAGGGGGAAAAAGTGCCACCGAACAGGGCATGTCTGTATGTAGGTGTCATGCGATGGAGTGACACGTCATGTTATCCGTAGGTGTCATTGTGCCGTGGATCAAATCGAGTGTCTTCCGAGATCGTGGGAGTGTCTTCCAAAGCTAACGGAATGTCAAGCATTGCATCGGATGTGCTACTATTTGTGTCGCGTGTTGGCGCCAAACATATTCAAGCGACCCCAAAATACATTTACAGTATATTGTTCCCACTTGCAAAAGTTCCCATTACTAGACTGGAATTTGCAAACTCGAAAGGAACGCGCTGCGACTAGTGCCTATTTTTCATGAGTAAATTCTATGTTTCTATGATTTTTTGAGTTGATTTTGTGTACCACCCTTATGCCCTTGGGTTTTTTTTTTTTTTTTTAATGGTTTCTTTGATAAGCCAGAGTTTCTTATATACCACCCTTAGCATCCCTCTATAAGGGGGTATACCACCGGATTTTCATGTACCCCCCTGTCTACATGCGTAGCCCCATATCCCCGTCGTATTCACAAGGACCGCCCAGCTGGCCCACGTCACATGATGCCCATCTCGCCCTCGCTGGCAGGTTCCACGGTCCCTATTGGACACTTATATTTTTCCTCACGCCCCCCTCTTTCCAAACCCTCTGAAGCCCCACTCCCCCACTTTATCCTCTCTCACAGCATTCGAGCACCTTCGCTCCTCCCCTTAGTCGTCTTTCAGCAACCGCCCTCTCTCACTACCTGAGTCCGCCATGCCTGGCGCGGTTGATCCTGATGACGGTGTCAGTGGTGGGAAGAATCCAGACCCCTGTTGCTCGCTAAGTGCCATTCCCTAACAACCCTGCTAGCATACTAGCAGAATACACCACGCCACATCACATGCTATGAGTGGTCACCATTTCCGCCACTGCAGCCGCTACTACGAGTGACGCCAATTCTGTTGGCTACTGCCGTCCATGGGATGATCGCCCCTGCTGCTGCTGTGCATAGTGGGATCGTAGCTGCTGCTGCTAAGTGACAAAATTTCCGCTTAGACTGCTGTTGTTAGTTGCGAGTGCCGTGATTTTCACTGATGTTGCTACAAGTGACGAGATGAGATTGCCGCCACTGGTAACGCAACCAGTGACACGATTGTTGCCCACGTAGCTTATGTGTGGAACAGGATCACCGCCATCGCTATTGCTGCTGTGGGTAACGAGTTCCTGCCGCTTGTTGCGGCTGCAGCGCGGGGTGGGATTGCATCAGTTGCTACTACAGGTGACAAGTTTCTGCTGCTGCCGTAGTTACAAATGTAAACAAAAAAAACTGCCTGCTCCTACTAGTGTGTATGGCATGATGTTGATGATGCTGATGAGTGAATGAAGTAATCTAATGCTATATTTTATTGCAAGAGCACTTGCCCCCCTAGATCCACGGTCTCTAATAACACACACTATTAAGAGAGTGAAATTAAGGCACCCTATCTTGTTTGAGTAAAAAAATCGAAAAATGTAGGGTTACCCTTATGCCTCAGGGTAAATGTGGATGACCACTCTGGTTTTCAGAGTAGTGGGGAAAGTAACTTCCAGATTTCAGAGTAGTGAAAATCCAAAGATCAGCACTGGCTGCGACACTCGTAATCCTCCAAACATAACCACTTTCACGGTGGCAGAATTTTCGTTTTCGTCCGTTACCGTTTGTGAAAATTGCCTTGCTTGACTAAACAGATTTCACTGTTCTCACTCAAGGCTGGCACTTTCAATCGTAGATGCTGGCAAAAATTAGTTTCCTCGGGTGTCTTCCTGCGTCTGACATTGTCGGATGACATGCCGCAGGAATTACCCCTGAGTTTCGGAAGGGTCGGGCGTGGCTCCACGTGCAGGTTCGGGGTGAGGACGTAGGTTTTGAGGCCTAGCCTGGACCTACGAGGTCCGAGGTGTGCGCCGTGTAGCGTTACCCCCCTAAGGAACAACTAAAATTTCCTTACAAAAAAACTCTGCATAATGCTCGGCCAAGCCAACTCGAAAGGACAGCCCGAGGAATTGCAGTTGTCAAGCAACGTCAGAGAGCGTTTTCAAATGATAGTTCGTCTCGGTAGTTGGTTTCCGTGGGGTGTTGGTCGACAAAGTTGGCCTCAGTGGGCTTCTCGTTCATCTCGTATGACCGCAACTGGCGAAAAAAAGCACGAAGATTGACAAAATTTCTTTGCGACGTTCGGCGACAAAATGGACCGTCAAGGCGCTGATCGGATTGGGAGCCATTCGAGGGGACCCAATGTACCTTCCAGAGGAAGGTTCCCAAAGTCCGAGCTAGGTCTCTGCCAGGGCTTCTGCTAGGTTCCTGTGTTAAAGTAGCTCTAGGCTAGGATACTAAGCAGGAACAAGGCCGCCATGAATGTGGCGGCGGGGTTTAGCTAGGAGCTGGACGAGAGTGTCGAGAGAGAAGGGAGTTGGATTAGGAAGAGAGAGGAGTACAAGGAGGGGTTTGTACCCCCTACAGAAAGGTTCAGTAACAACCTACCAAGCCTATATTAAATTATAGCTTATATAATTTGAACACACCCCATAGGCTTGGTAGTGTCAAGCCCACTCACACCCCCACACCCACACCCACACCCACACCCCCTAGCCCAGCACCCCCATTCCCAGCAGGAGACACAACGACTCCAGAAGCGGGCAGCTCCCACGGCCCGTGGGATGGCTATGGCGGCAGCAGCGACATTGACGACAGCGGCGCCGGTGGCGGCGTGCGGCGGCGCCCGGCCCGCGGCAACAGCAACGACAGCGGCGGCTTGGACGTCAGCGGCTGGTGCAGCGGCCCCCGCCCTCTCGGCGGCATGTCCAGTCACCTCGGCAGTGGGGAGGGCCCGCATGAGGCAGTCGTTGGCTGCAGCAAGGAAGGGGGGGGAAGCAGGGGAAGGAGGGGGGAAGGGGGGCGGAGGGGGGGGAGAGGGGCGCGGGGCGTAGTCCAGCATCACGCCGGCGGCTGCAGAGCGGGCGGCAGGTCCGGCGGCACCATTGACGATGCGCGGCCGGCTGTCGCCCGATGACGCCGCCACGGCTGCCAAAAGACGCCGCCACAGCGCGACGTCGATGCCGCGGCGGCGAGGCGGAGGTGCGACTGTAGCTCGACTAAGCCGCCGCGGCATCTCAGAGAAGTCGCCACGGCGGCACGGAAAGGCAAGGCCGCCACGGCGGCAGGAAAACGAAAGGCCGCCATCAGCGGCACGGTACGAAGTGAAACGTAAGACAAGGACGAGGCGGAAGCGTGGAAGGCAGGACCGGAAACGGCCTGCTCTAATACCATGTTAAAGTAGCTCTAGGCTAGGATACTAGGCAGGAACAAGGCCGCCATGAATGTGGCGGCGGGGTTTACCTAGGAGCTGGACGAGAGTGCCGAGAGAGAAGGGAGTTGGATTAGGAAGAGAGAGGAGTACAAGGAGGGGTTTGTACCCCCTACAGAAAGGTTCAGTAACAACCTACCAAGCCTATATTAAATTATAACTTATATAATTTGAACATCCTGCGCCGCTCGGACGTTCAGGGCGCCCCTCGAAGCTTACCCTGAAAAAAAAAACGGCACGGCCAAATCGTGCCCTTACGGAAAGGGCTCGCACCAGATCCCCTCTGGCCAAATCCGAGCTGCCTATAAAAACGCTCTTTTATGTGTCTAGTTACGTTACATTACAAATCTCATACATGAATTGTCCATAAAATTCAAGTTATTAATGCATGCAATGTCTAAAAAATGTTTAGAGGTACGCTAGCCAAGAACTCACATCACACCAACCTTACTCGCGTCACGGACGGAAACAGCGAGCGAGATTTGAGGGGCCAACTGACTGGAGGAGGGGCGAGATTACTGGAGGAGCTGAAATGGCTGGTGGACGAGCGAGATGAGGTGCGCGAGCTGACTAGATTGGCAGCACACGTGAGGTGAGGAGGAAGTTCTCTCTCGCGGGGGGGGGGGGGGGGGGGGGGGGGGATGGGGTCTGGCTACGGGTAGCCTCAAACTTCTCTCGGGCGAAAAGGCTGGCACCCAAAAGTCCCCTGAAAACCAACGAGAGAGTAATATTTCAACTCTTTTTTTCAAGGGCTGCCTTAAAACAACCCTGAAAATCAGTCAAGAACGGGCATTCACCCTGTTAGCATAAGCCCTGGTCTCTGCATCGCATGCAGAGCCCAAAACTCGCTAAAGGGGCCCAAATCAGGGCCAAAAACGCGGCTCGGGGACCAGACCAGAACGGGTCCCCTGCTCGGTCCTGGTGACCCATTCCCAGCTTGGCGGAAGAGTTTCGCCGGCCTGTGAGGGGACCCAAAACGAGTTCCTGCCTGTCGACAAATCGATGCAGGAACCCAACTCTGGTCCCCAGGACCCGGGTAGTACGAAATAAAGGGAATACCCTCTCTTCGGGAAAGTAGTTGATGCAAAAAAACGGAATGCAGAAAACATATAAGCATGCATGCGGTGTACACGCAACCGATTAGACAATATTCACTAAGGCCAGCGACTTGGTTTAGCATCCAGCCATTCCACGGCAACCTCACTGACAAGCACGCATGCTCGACCGCCCATTGAACGTGAGCTGGTGCGCAGCCAGCCGCAGGCCACTCGGAACCGCGAGTCGAGCGCTTCGAGCCTCCCCGGTCGTTAGCTCTGCCATACCGCGAACATGCAGTAAGGCCACTGGGGGAGGCAATCAGAAAAGGGGTCAATTAGAGATAGCGCTAGTGAGGAGTATAGAACGCACGTCCTCCCTCACGCGGTCATATTCGCCTTCACCGAGGGGAAGAAGGTGAGACTGTTCATGAGTCAGAGATACTAAGCTGTATAAATGCTCTCTAACCACAACAGTGACGAAGCGTTAAAGAAATTACGCCAAACGAAAACAGAGTCTATGCAGTAGAGTAGAGACGTACAAAAGGCAAATGCGAGAGTAGCATAGCGGGAGGGAGGATGCGCGATGATGGGCAGAACGAGAGTCACTGCCGCAGGAAGCGCGTGGCGCCGTGAGCTGCAAGTGGCGAATGCGAATGCACCGATGGCGTGGAGTGACAGCGGGGAGTGCGGAAAGGCGGAGGTGCGGTAGAGAGGGCGGGGATGTGTGAGAGCGAGAGAGAAAGAGGGGTGAAGGAGGGCAGCGGTGCGAGAGATATAGAGAGTGTGAGGAGGAGGAGAAATGGAGGGTGGAGGTGGGGGAGAGGGAAATAGTGACGGTGAGGGGTAGGAATTCATGGCGCAGCTTTAGGGTTTGGCATAGAGTGAGTGGCGGTGGATGAGAGTCAGGGAGGGAGGAGGTGCGGAGGAGAGGGTTACATGGTGAGAGAGTGAAGGGGGATGGGAGAGAGAGTGAGGAGGGGAGTCACCAGGGGCTGGTGTGCGGGAGAGAGGGCAGGGGTGAGAGCGAGCATACGAGGAGGGTGAGAGGCTTGACTCGGAGTGAGTGAGAGAGGGGGGACGGGCATGAGGGAGGGTGGTGCGGGGAGTCAGGATGGGCGGAGGTGCGGGTTAGAGCGTGACTGAGCGAGTGAGAGTAAGGGGATGGGCGGAAGAGAGCGAGAAGGGCAGAGTCAGGGAGGGGGGAGGTGCGGAGGAGAGGGTGCCATGGTAAGTGAGTGAGGGGGGATGGGAGAGAGGGAGAGGAGGGGAGTGTCCACAGGCTGGTGTGCGGGAGAAAGGGTGGGGGTGAGAGCAAGTGTACGAGGATGGTGATTGAGAGTGTGACTCAGGGGGAGTGAGAGAGGGGGGATGGGCATGAGGAAGGGTGGAGCGAGGAGTCAGGAAGGGCGGAGGTGCGGGTCAGAGCATGACTGAGCGAGTGAGAGAAGGGGGGATGGGGGGATGGGAGAAGGTGAGGGTGGGAGATTGGGAGGCATGGGGGGGTAGATAGCGGACATGCTGGAGAGTGCGAGAGGAGGAATGGTCGACGGGAATGAGAGGGAAGGAGGATGTGCTCTGTTGAGAGGAGGCAAATGAGAGTGGGGGAGGGGGAATGTGCAGGAGAGATTGTGAGGAGGGGAGCGGGAGCATGAGTCGGAGAGTTCGGGGGGGGGGGGGATGGGCAGATGGGAGCGTGACTTGGAGGGTAAGGGAAGGGGGATGGGCGGGCGAGAGGCCTAGGAGGCGCTGCAAGGAAAGGATGATGGTCGATAGAGAGCTTGACATGGGGAGCGAGGGAGGTCAGATGGGCGGGAGAGAGGCGAGGAGGAGCATGAGGGAAGGATGAAGGCTGGGAGAGAGCGCTACAGGGGGGGGGTGTCGGAAGAGAGGACGGGAGAGAGGGCGTGGCGCAGAATCGGAAGGGGCCGGAAGGGCGAGGGTGGGTGAGGGAAGGAGGATGGGCGGAAGAGAGGGCGAGTGTGGGTGAGGGCACGAGGATGGGTGGATAAGAGGGCGAGTGGGGGTGAGGGAAGGAGGATGGGCGGAAGAGAGGGTGAGGCGGACAGCGAGGGAGGGCGGATGGGCGGGTGGGAGCGTGACAGGGGGAGTGTGGGAGGGGGGTAGTTCGGGGGAGAGCGTGACGGGGGGATAGATCGACGTCAGATGACTGGGAGAGGTGGAGGATGGGATGGCCGGGAGAGAGCGCGACAGCGGGGGGGAGGGAAGGTGGATGGGTGGAAGAGAGGGCGAGGAGGAGAGTGAGGGAGGAGGGATGACCAGGAGCAAGGTGCAAAAATACAGTAATCGTATTATACGGGTCCTGTAATACGATCGTTTTTTTCGACCATTTTCAAAAAAACAAACAAAAACAAAACAAAGCAAAACCAAAGTCCCTTTTTTTTTTCGAAATTCCTGGTTTTTTTTTTTTTTTTTTTTTTTTTTTTTTCCGCGTAACAGATCCCTGCATTTCGGCCGCCGAAATGCAAGATCCATGCATTTCGGCAGGCAGAATTCCGGATCTGCGCATTTCGCCAACCTAAACGTGAGATCGGCCAATTTTGATGGACGAAGTGCGAGATCCACGCATTTTGGCATGCGAAATGCCAGATCTGTGCATTTCGTCCGCCAAAATGCGAGATCCGTGCTTTTCGACGGTCAATATGCCAGATCCGCGATTTTCGGCAGTCTATTCCGCCCGGGTTTCAAAAATTCGGTCGAAAAAAAACGACCATGTTTTTGCACCACCCTCAAAATGGCACTTCTGACCGTTTCTTATCGTATTATACGGCCGAAAAACTCAATACCGTATAATACGATAAATTGTTGAAAAAAAAACCTTTTTTTTTTCACCTTGACCAAGAGAGAGTGTGACATGGGGGGGAGAGGGAAGGAGGATGGGCGAGGGAGGGGGCGAGGATGAAAGCGGGGGTGAGCGGATGGGCAGAAGGGAGGGTGTGGTGCAGAATCGGAAGGGGCTGGGAGAGAGCGTAACAGGGGGACTGTGGGAAGGGGGATGGGTGGGGGAGAGCGTGACAGGGGGGGTGAGGGAAGGAGGATGGGCGGAAGAGAGGGCAGGAGAGAGGGCGTTGCACAGAATCGGAAGGGGCCGGGAGAGAGCGTAACAGGGGGAGTGTGGGAAGGGGGGTGGGTGGGGGAGAGCGTGACAGGGGGGGTGAGGGAAGGAGGATGGGTGGAAGAGAGGACGGGAGAGAGGGCGTGGTGCAGAACCGGTAGGGGCCGGGAGGGCGAGTGTGGGTGAGGGAAGGAGGATGGGCAGAAGAGAGGGCGAGTGTGGGTGAGGGAAGGAGGATGGGCGGAAGAGAGGGTGAGTGTGGGTGAGCTCACGAGGATGGGCAGATTAGAGGGCGAGTGGGGGTGAGGGAAGTAGGATGGGCGGAAGAGAGGGCAAGGAGGACAGTGAGGGAGGAGGGTAGGCAGCAGAGAGCATAAGCGAGGCGAGTGAGGGAAGGGGGATGGGCGGAAGAGAGGTTGAGGGAGAGAGTGAGGGAGGGCTGACGGCCGGGAGAGAGCGCGACAGGGAGAGTGAGGGAAGGGGGATGGATGGATGAGAGCGTGACATGGGGAGAGATGGATGTGGGATGGATCCCACAAGCTTACATGCCACCCCCTCACTGGACCTCCAACCCCCCCTCCCCTCCCCGCAGGCCCGCGAGGATGGATCAATTGACCTCAGGCGCTACTCCAACCCAACAATCCTCCTCAGGTAGTCTCCTGCAAATGTTGTAGGAGCTGTCAATGCAAGCTGCCTCGGGCAGCGTTGCTGCCACTTGGAGCACACCTTTTTTGTCAGGAGTAGCCGGTGGTGGTGCTGCTGGAGTCGCGTCCAGCTATTGCCTAGGTATTACCCAAACTCAAGGTTCTCGGCGACCTTTGGGGATCCGAGCACAGCAAACCAGCCAGGGCCGGCACAGTCTGACACTGCGTCCAGATGGTAGTCGAGGAGTAGAGTCCACGGATGACGACGATGGGGATGATGTAACCGTGACAACGGGCTAACAATCGACCTCCTGAACATCATACACAGGGCCATGAAGGACGCGGGGCAACCCCTCTCAGAACCCATTGATTGCTGGGATGTCATATTTTCCCCTTGGAATGAGGGGCACAAGGAGCTCAGCTACACTCTCGTAAATCTGCACAACCATGTGAAGGTGCTACGAAAGTGGGTGCGAGACATCAAGTATATGAAGCGTGGCCTCGGCACGCGGATTCATTGGGATCCGGGGTGCGACACACTGAGTGTCGATCTCAATGTAAGTCACCTTCCAACAAGCCGGCTTATCCCCTTTTGCAGCCATCTCCCGACTGCCAACTGCATTCGATGTTGTCACATCCTACTGAATTCCAATGCCCAATACTTGCTAAACCAGTCATTCCCCCTTGCTGCAGCTCCCCTTCATGAAACATTGCCATGTCGTGGAAGATTGTGTAGTCGTGGGTGAAACCCTCCCATCCTCTCAGCGCGTGGATGAAGGCGTTATCAAACCCACACGCCGCTAGAACGTTCTGCGACACCTTTTCATTTTGGTCTCAGAAAACCTGCTGATGCTCTGTCGCGATGCATGCCGGCACCAGGGTGCCGTCAATGGCTCCGATGGCTCCTTTAAATAACATGTAGTCCAGCCTCCCCCTGAATGCTTTTGTGTTTGGGGCTGCTGGCATCCACAGGAGCACTGGTTTTAGTGTGCACAAAGCCTTTGTCACCCTATGAACGATAGCGCTGATCGTAGATCCGCTGTGCCGCCACCGTTCTTGCAGTACCCGCTGTGTAGCATTTTGCCCGACAAACAGCAGCCACACCATGACTTGCTCATATTTCAAGATTCCCCTGCAACCGTCTAGGCGACCCGTTGGCTCCAAACGACCCACGAGCTCTTCAAATAGATCAGGCTCCATCCGGAGTGTTTCACTCATACGGTCCGGGTGGCCTACTAGTAATTCTGTAACATATTCGGCTCCTTGTAACGCTGACGTATTCCTAGGCATTTTGCAGAACCGACTGCGGGTTGTTTCAGCTGCGACGAGCAATAAGTTCCACCACAATCGTACGATTTTGTGGATCAATTCGTCTAGCACTTTTTTCTTGCACTGTATATCCACGGATCCATGGTGTTGTAGTGTAATCCTCATCTTTAGGGGGTCGAAGTTAAAGCGAGGGTCTCAAGAAGCAAAAAACCAAACCCAAAGGTTTTGGTTTCGGGGTGTCTCGAAAATTGCGAGGTGTGGTCAGGGGTGCTGGTTGGGGGCTGTAACTGTTTCGCAAAGTTCGTCAACCCAAAACCAAAACCTTTGGATTTGGTTTTCTGCTTCTTGGGACCCTCGCTTTAAGGTTGTACTCCGCCATGGCTCCGTCTGTGTCCATCTCATAGGGTGAATGAGGGAGCTCTCTATTTCCGAGCAGTACGTCATCTGCTTCTATGCACGTTAGGGTTTGCTATAACGATTTGTGTTCCGATTTGTTTTTCACCCAACTTTACATTGCACATTTGTGTTAAAGCATAGGTCCCAAGTTACAAGGCGCAAGGTTTTTTGTTAACAATTTTGGAAGGGGTCTGGGTGGGTACCCTGTGCAATTTAGGAACAGTGAGTCAATATATAATTGTATAAATTATAGGCTAGATAGGTGCATGCTCATAGAGAGTACAACACCTTAGGTTATATCCCCTTGTATCCCCTAATCGTACTCAATTCATTACTCTGAGATGGTATCACGCGCTAGGTTAGGTCCTCCCCGCCCACCTGCGCTTCCGCCCTAGTCCTAGTCCTAGCTGCCCGTTTCTAGCCGCCTGTTCCTAGCCGCTAGTCGCTAGCTGCCCGTCGCTAGCCTGCCCGCTCCTAGCCGCCCGTCGCTAGTCGCCTCTGCTAGCCGAGCGCTGCTCACCGCCACTGGCTGCTAGCCGCCAGCCACCTGTAGCTGCTGGCCGCCCGTACGCGCCAGCCGCCCGTTGCCAGCCCCGTCGCTCGCTGGCCCGGTGCTGGCCAGCCCCGCATCTGCCAGCCCCGCTGCTCGCTGGCCCCGCGCTCGCCAGACCCGCGCCTGCCAGCCCCGTCGCTCGCTGGCCCCGCGCCTGCCAGCCCTGTCGCTCGCTGGCCCCGTGCTCTCCAACCCCGCGCCTGCCGGCCCGTCGCTCGCCGGCCCTGCGCTCCCCGGCCCCGCGCTCGCCAGCCCCGTCGCTCGCTGGCCTGTAGCTCGCTGGCCTCGCGCGTGCCAGCCCTGCACCTGCTGGTCCGTTGCTCGTCCGCCCTCACGTCGCCAGCTCCGTGCTCGCCAGCCCCTCGCTCGCTGGCCCTGCCGCTTGCTGGCCCCGCGCTCGCTGGCCCTCGTTCGCTAGCCCTGCGCCCGCCAACACCGTGCTTGCTGGCCCCGCGCTTGCCAGCCCCCCGCCCGCTGGCCCCGCCTTCGCCGGCCCCTCGCTCGTCAGCCCCGCGCCCGCCAGCCATCGTGCCGCCGAGCCGCCGCTCTGCCGCGCCGCCATGCCTCCGAGCTGTAGTGCTGCCGTGACGCCGTGTCGTCGAGCCGCCGAGCTGCCGGGCAGCCGTGCCACAGTGCCGCCGTGATGCCATGTCACTGCGCCGCAGAGCCGCTCTGCCGCCCCCACCTGCTGGCCTTGGCTCCCCTCTGAGCCGGCGCTCCCACCGGCAGTCTTCATCGCTCTCCACCACACGTCACCGCTCAGCACCACACTCCACCGCTCTTCACCGCACACCACCATTCTCCACCTCTCCACCGCTCTCCACCGCTCCCCACCGCTCTCCTATGCCTCCAGCGGCTGTCAGTTGCTGCAGCTGTGGCGATGGTAGACGGTGTGCTTCGCCTGGACGCAGAGTGTCGGGACGTTGAGTTTGAGGTGTGGCTCGTCGACCTCTGCCGCCAGCTGACCGGGCAGCGCCAGGATGGCCACTACCTGGTCGTCCACGTCGCCGGTAAGCTCCCACGCCCCGCCCCACCTGCTGCCCTTCCTGACACCCACATGTCTGCTGAGCGTGAGGCTTTTGTCACTGCCGAGCTTGCCAGTACTGTCTGGGACTCGCGCGACGCTGTTGCTCAGCTTGCCATTAGCCACGTCCTCCCCCTGTCCGTGCGTCCCCGCTTTACCGCAGTAGTGAACACCAAGGACTACTGAGATGTTGTCATCGCACGTTATTCCACCCCCGCCTCAGCCTCTGCAGGCCGCCTGATCCTCCCCATGCTGTTCCCTGACCTTGCGTCCTTCCCCACTATCGCTGACCTTGCCACGCACCTCCGCGCACTGAAGACTAGCTACCGCGCTGCTAGCACTGAGGCACAGCTCACAACCTTCTCGCCGCCGATTTGCACTACCCTTTACCTCATTGCCATGTGCCTACCTGACCGCCTAGCCACTGCCCGCGACCACTTCCTTAGTCAGCACCCAGTTGATCTCACCCTCACTGACTTTGTCACCGCCTTGTCTGCGATATAGACCCGCCAGCGCACTATCGCTCAGTCTTGCGGTACTGCACTGGTCCCTATCTTCTAGGGCTGTGCTCCCTCCCAGTGCACTTACTCTGACGTTTCTGCTGCTGTCGCTGTGGCCTGATGGCGCTGGTAGTGGTGGTCGGGGTGGTGTCCTGTGCAGCTCGGTGTCGGGTGGCAGCTCGATTGTGACCACCTGCGAGTACCAGCTTCAGACCAGCTCCCGCCGCGGCACCGTCTGCGACCGTCCAGGTCACACCGCTGCCCGCTGCTACCGCCGCCTCAACGAACTCTACCGTCTCTGCTTTGGTCCCACTTTGGACCCTCCTGACTGGTACGCCCGGGCCTGCCACCATGTTCCCGTCCTTGAGCTCGACATGGATCAGATTAGGACTGCTATGTATGTCATGTATGCTGATGACTCTAGTGTGACCGGATCTTATTACCCTGTGTTGTCTAGTGTAGGTGTGTCTGCCGTGAGTAGTCTAGGTTCCCCTGCTGCATCATGCGTAGGACCTCTTGCCTGGTTTAGCTTAGCCTCTACACTAGCCCCTTCACTAGCCGCCGCTACGGTAGACGCTACTGCTTCGCTCTCTTTCACGCTCAAATCAGGAGCGTCTACCTGCTTCTTCCGCGACCACACTTCGCTCATGCCGCTTGTTGCCCCTACCGCTGTAGCGCTTGCTCAATTCTCCTCAGGTCCGGTAGTCACACGTAGCTCCACTACCCTTACCTCTCTGGCGGTCCCCTTGGGCTCTCTTGCAGGCTTGCACATCCTCTCATTCTCCAGGAACCTAGTTGGTTTTGGCTGTCTTCAAGACCTTGGCGTCACCATTATGTTTTTTGACACGAGCGGTACCCTGTTTGTACTGAGGCCGCTACTGGTGCCTTTCTTACCCGGGACCCCGTGTCTGGCTTGTTCATGCTTAACACTGTGTCCCCCCTGGTGAGAGCGCCCCCCCAGGTTGCTGCGTCCTCTCAAGAAGCTGCAGCCTGCTCGTGTCGTTCGCTCACCCACCCTTCAATGCTGTGGCACCACTGCCTAGGTCACCGCGCTCTCCCGTGTCTGCATCTCATGTCCCATCATGGGCTTGTCCGTGGTCTCCCTGCATCGCTCCCTGCCCTCCCTCCCTCGCCAGGGCCGCCGTGCACGCCTTGCGACGAGGGACGGTTGCGCCGTGCTCCCCACTCCTCCTCACTCCCCCCTACCACAAAGCCACTCCACACCCTGCACCTGGACGTTTGGGTTCCCTCCCCAGTCCCTGGGCTGCGTCGTGGGCGCTACTTTCTAATGCTTGTCGACAATTTAACGCGCTACACCACGGTGCTTCCCCAGGAGCGGAAGGCCGACGTGCCTGACGTTCTTATCCCGTGGTTCATACAGTAACTACGCGAGACCACCGCGGCCTCCCCGTGCTGCGTCTCCATTCCTATCGTGGAGGCGAGTTCGCCTCCGGTCGGCTTGGCCAGTTCTGTCGTGCGGAGGGCATCACCAAGTCGTACATCCTGCCGGACTCCCCGCAGCAGAATGGGGTCGCTGAGCAACGCATCGGTTTGGTCATGGAGGTGGCTCGTACCTCCATGGTCCATGCCGGTGCACCCCATTTTTTGTGGCCGTTCGCTATTCGCTACGCCGCTCACCAGCTTAACCTGTGGTCACACTCCCAGCAGCCGCTGGTTTCGCCGACCCTCCTCTGGACCGGGTTCCCTGGTGACGCGTCTGCATTCCACGTCTGGGGCTGCCTTGCTCACGTTTGTGCCTCTAGCATGGACAAGCTCACTGCCCACACTGTCCCTTGTGGCTTCCTTGGTTTCCCCCTAGACACGTCTGACTGGCACTTTTACCACTCGTGGTCTCACCGCTTCCTTCATTCGCGTGACATCATTTTTTAGCCTGTCTCCTTCTACCACCGCTTTCCCCACCGAGGTCTCTCAGTTTCCCCGCCCCTGTTTCTAGTTCCCACTCCCCCGGTAGCCCCTTCTCCTCTCCCTCCTGGTCATTCCCCGTCTGGTGTGTCTCACGTCACTCCCCTCCCGTCGGTTGTCCTGGTCAAGGAGACGGCTGACTCAGGTGGCCCTGCGGCACCGTTCTCGCCGCGTGTCTCCGCCCTGGTGCCTCCTCCTCCGCCGTCGCTGCAGCCGCCGCCGTCGCCGCCGTAGAAGCAGCCGTTGCAGGAGTCCGCCAACTGTGGGGGTGTGGGCGTTGAGGAGGGTGCTCGTCCTGGAGTTCCAGTTATGGCTTGTCCCAGTGGTCCTGGGGGTGGCACCGGTGCTGGAGAGGGTTCTCGTTCTGAGGGTGCTAGTCTTGGGGTTACTGTCCTGGCTTGTCCCGATGGTCCTGGGGTTGGTGCCGGTGTTTGAGAGGGTTCTCGCTTTGGGGGTGTTGGCATGGAGTGTCTTGGAGGTAGCCGTGGTGTAGCTGGAGGTTCTCGTGTCGGCACGAAGCAGCGGGCGCAGCAGCAGTCGCCGCCGGTTTCCGCCCTTCGCCTCCTCGGTCTTCCCTCCCCTTACCACCCGCCTGAGCCTCCTCTGCCGCCGCCTCCCTTGCCTGTCTACGGCCCTGTGTTTCCTCCGCCGGACTCGTCTCTGGCTCGTTTCCCCCCTTGTTCTCCTCTTGTGTCTCCTCCTATGTCTACTGACCCGACGCCTCCGTCCCACTTCTGGTCTCGCCGTCCCTCTTGTGCTCGTCCTGTCTAACATGTTCAGTGCTCTCACTTTATGCTGCTCCGTTCACGCGCATCTCGTCCTCCCCTCCTCCCGTCGCCTCCTCCGTTGTCGCATGTTGTTGCTCCGTCTCCACTGTCTAACTTCCTTCGTGCCACTAGTCGTCTTGTTCCTCGAATCCTTGCTTACCGACCCATCTGTTCCTGTCTCGAGTCTTGACGCTCTTGTCACTACCATCGGTGACTTTGCCTCTACCTGCCACCTTGACTACGCCACAGCTCTGGTCTCTAACCCTGCCTGTCCTTCGTCCGTCGGGCGTGCTCTTGCCCTTGGCAGTGACGTCCAGGAGGACCAGCAGTACGAGCTCACTTTCCTGTCCGATGCCATTCCTCATCTTTGCTCCATGTTGCTAGTCCCTGAGGGTGACCTAGACGCCCTTGACATCCCGACCCCTCGCACTTACGCGGAGGCGACCTCGGGACCGTGGGCCTCTCAGTGGATAGCTATCATGGATGCGGAGATGGCATCCTGGAGATCCCCGGCACCTACATCAACGCAGCTCCCCCACCCGGGGTCAACGTAGTTGATGGCTCTTCAAGGTGAAACACCCTCCCGAAGAGCCACCTGTGTTCAAAGCGCTACGTGGCTAGAGGCTTCAGTCAGCGCAAGGGTGTTCACTTCTTTCAGACCTTCGCCTTGACCCCGAAGATGACTACCCTCCGGGCACTGCTATACGTAGCAGCACTGCGTGACTCCGAGCTACACTCGCTCGTTTTCTCCACAGCGTTTCTCCAGGGCAGTCTGCACGAGCAGGTCTACCTGCGTCGTCCACCCGGCTTCACCGGCACCTTCACCCCCCGTATTGAGTGGCTCCTCTGGCGCCCGGTTTACGGCCTACGACAGGCGCCCCGTGAGTCACACGACACGCTGCTGCTACGTTAGCTGACCTGCAGTTCTTCTCATTGTCTGCAGACCCTTCACTCTTCGTTCGTGCTGGCCAGACCCTGTTCTCCATCCTTGTCTACGTAGACGACCTTGTCTTTGCTAATGCAGACAGAGACGCACTGGCCTCCATGAAGGCTGAGCTGCTGAGGAAACACACCTCCAATGACCTAGGAGAGCTGCGCCGCTACCTTGGCCTGCTGATCTCCAGGGACAGAGCAGCATGTACCATCACTCTTGCACTGTCACACCTTGTGCGCCACATCCTTCAAAGGTTCGGTATTCAGTTCTGCTCCACACAGCCCACACCTCTGCCAGTAGATCACAGGCTCTTGGCTCTAGTCTCTTAGGAGTCTGTAGAGTCTAGTGGTCCTTACGTAGAGCTGGTCTCATGTACCTGATGACTTGCACTCGCCCAGATCTCGCATACCCTCTCAACATCCTGGCTCACTTTGTGGCTACAGACTGACACCGACCACAGCACTTGTCGTCTGCTAAGAGGGTTTTGCGTTGTCTAGCAAGTACATCGGGCATGGGGCTAGCGCTAGGAGGACGCAGACCAGTAGTCCTTACAGGGCACACAGACGCTTCGTGGGCCGACAACGCTGAGACGCTCGGGTCCTCCCAAGGCTACTTCTTTTGCCTTGGTGAAGGCGCCATCTTGTGGAGGCCCACCCGCTCGATGTCTGTTGCTCAGTCTAGCTATGAGACTGAGATCTACGCTGGTGCCATGGCGGCACAGGAGCTCCGCTGGTTGACCTTCTTGCTCACGGCTTTAGGTGAGCGGCCTAGCTCTGCCCTGGTCCTGTACGCTAACAAGAGGGCCATGATCCTTCTGTGTCAGGGGCCTCGACTAGAGGGCAGAGAGAAGCACATCTAGCTGCGGTACTTCCTCCTGCATGAGCTACAGCAGCGCTGCCAGGCCCGCGTAGTACACTTGGCCTCCGGTGCCAACACAGCTGATATCTTTACAAAGGCGCTTGCGCTTAAAGATCATCAGCGGCACTGTGTACAGCTTGTTCTAGTTCCTATAGCTTCTCACTTGCTAGGACCTTGATTGTGTACTACTCCTTATATTATCTTGACTGGCCTTGTGGCTCCTGTTCCAGTGGCTGGACTAGTAGTGCCACTATGGGTTACTCTTGTTTCCTTTGTACTCTTGCTGACTTGTCTTCAGACACTTGTCTCAGAGGTTTGACTAGTAGTGCCACCCTGAGCAGGGCTGACGTTAGCAAACAATTTAGCTATATTAGTCTAAATTTTTTATACCCTAAAGTTTGCCAAACCTGAATTTTCAGATTACCCATTTTCCCAATCCCGATCACTTTAGAGTACAATTTTAGGGATCCTGAAATTTTCAGACTTGTTGCTAACCCAGTAGTGAGTTTCCAGAGCGCAGCGCATACAGACCCTGAAACACATGTACCTACTACTAACATGTGACCCAGAAAAAATTGGCTAAGACCTTAAACGCTAGAGACATCCTCCACACACCCAACAACCCATTGAAAAGTTTGGCCAAGTCCCCAAACACTAGAGACATCCCCCACACACCCCATAACCCATCGAAGATATTTGCGAAGTCCCCAAACGCTAGAGACATCCCCCACACACCCCACAACATATCGAAAATCTCGGCTAAGGGGGTTTATCTGACACAGTCTCCCTAATACCCCGACCTCAAACAGCCCAAAAATTTGGCTAAGTCATAAACAGATATATAACAGATATGAGGGTGAGCTGGGCACGTAGACAAACCTTCCCTAAGGGGAGGGGGGAAGCGAAATGGAAGGGAAGGGGGGAGATCGAAACGGACAGATGGGGGGAATCGAAATAGAGGGGGAGGGGGGGATCGAAACTAGGGAGAGGGGGCAAGCTGGGCGAATAGAGTGGTGGGAGAAACTTCGCGCCCTTGTAGCTCCCCAATTGGGAGATCTTGGACGTCAATCATTAGCGATAATCGAACGGTGGAAACGTGTCCAAAACGATCGCAATCGATTGAGGCCGTCGAATTTTGATAGACTTTCAATTGGCCAATCAGGCAGCGGACGAGAATTCCCCTAAAAGGGATGACTCTTAGAAAATAGTTGTTTCGTCTCTCCACGTTTAGGGTAAAAAACATTTTCATACTAAGGCATCGTCGTCAGTACCCTTAAAAGATCCGCAAATTTCCGTCTCTAATTTTTTTACTCTGGTTGTAATCGCTGGACCCTGAGAAAATCAGACAAGCTCAGTTCTGGACTCTGACGTTTCAGAGTATCGATATTTTGGCTGAAGGCCCTTCATACTCTTTTTTTTTTCGGGGGGGTTGGCTCAGAGTGCATTTTTTTTAAACGTCAGCCCTGACCCTAAAACCCGCGGCCCAAATTGTTCATACGCACTGCGTATTAACTGTGAGCCTCGGCCTGGACGAAATACACAGAAAACTCGTGAGGGTATTTTATGTCGCGAATTCGTGATTTGTCATCGATCGTCCGATTTGCAAGCAGGCAGTGCGACGGCTGAGATTACATTTTCGATTGACTGGGGGAAGCACTTTACTTGCGCGCCGTTAGATGGAAATCGACAAATATTGGACGGCTAAAAAATGCGAGGCACTTGGTGTCCCAAAATACGTTCCATGCTGAACTTGAAAGCCAGCCCCGAGTGACGCGAGTCACGTTACCCCCATCTACACCCACGAAAATACGACTTTCAAACGCAGTGCGTTTGAAAGGTCGCGCCTCGCAATTTGGGCTGCGGGCTCTAAGCTGCGTGTCTTGTGCTAGTCATTACCCCTTGTCTAGCCTAGGGGGTGTGTCAACATATTGTATATGTTATAGACTAGAAAGGTGCATGGTCATAGAGGCAGTGAACAAGTGCGGGGGGTGATGGTGGAGAAGGGAGGCGTGTAATTGGACGATGGGGAAAACGTGTTTCGCTAACCCAGCACAAACTCCAACCAAGGGAAGAAACAACCAAGGGGAAAACGCGGTGCTTGTGTGGTAATTTGGGACTGCCTGAAAACCATTTTGTTCACAAAATGGAACCATGCGTAGTTTTTCCCACCAGCATTTCGCAATCGGAAGGAGCTAGCCTAGTCCAGTTTACTCATACTCGTCGGTCTAGCCTTCTAGCTCCGGGGACCCAGCTTCCCACTGTCTCAACCATCTCACTTCGTGCAGCATCTCTAGCGCCCCACTGCCCGCCGCTACCCTAATCGCGAGTGCACCCACTCGTCCAGCAAGCTGCTTCCCCCGCCCGCTGCTCCAAGCTTCCTGCCGCTGCCCGTTACCCGCCCCCTCGGCGCTGGTTGGCTGCAAAGCGGGAACCGCTTCCCGCTGCTTCCCGCTTCGCGCAGCCCGTGCGAACCACTGAACGCGCATCGCCCACCTTCCCACACTGCCATATCGCTGCTTCCCGCAGCGACTCGCTCCCTAGAGCCCGCTGTTCGACCCTTCCCCGCTTCCCGCTGCCCTCCCGATTGCCGGTTCCTGCAAGCTTCGCGCTTGCGGAATGTTTGGCCCCTTTCCAGGCACGGGGACAGAGATGGAGAGAGGTGCGACGAATGGAGCGTGGGATGTGTGACCTCTGGGAGGGAGGAAGAGGGGTGAGATAGGGGGGTGGATAGGAGGCGCGTGAGGTGGGAGGAATAGAGGCGAGAGATGAGGGAGTAAGTGTGGCGAAAGAGCAGGGAAATTGAGAGGCGACATAGCATGGGATAAGAGACGCGAAAGAGAAGGGAACAAGAGAGGCGATAGACGGGTTGGGGAGGGAGGAGAGAGATCAGGGGGGAGGAAGAGAAGCGAGAGAGGGGGGAGGACGAGAAGCGAGAGAGGCAGGAGGAAGAGAGGAGAGAGAGGGGGTAGGGAGAGAGGAGAGAGAGGGGGGAGGACGAGAGGGGGAAGGAAGAGAAGAGAGAGAGAGAGAGGGGGGGGGGGAAGAGAGGTAAGAGAGGGGGAGGTAGAGAGCAGAGAGAGGGGGGAGGAAGAGAGGAGAGAGAGGGAGAGGAAGAGAAGCGAGAGAGGAGGGTAGAAGAGAGGCGCGGGAGGAGGGAGGAATAGAGGCGACATAGCAGGGGATAAGAGAGGCGAAAGAGAAGGGAACAAGAGAGGCGATCGATGGGTGGGGGGAGGGAGGAGAGAGAGATCAGGGGGGAGGAAGAGAAGCGAGAGAGGGGGGAGGACGAGAAGCGAGAGAGAGGGGAAGAAGAGAGGAGAGAGAGGGGGTAGGGAGAGAGGAGAGAGAGGGGGGAGGAAGAGAGGAGAATAGGGGGAAGGAAGAGAAGAGAGAGAGAGAGACGGGGGGGAAAGAGAGGTGAGAGAGGGGGGAGGAAGAGAGCAGAGAGAGGGGGGAGGAAGAGAGGAGAGAGAGAGAGGGGAGGAAACGAGGAGAGGAGGAAGGAATAGAAGAGAGAGAGAGGGGAGGGAGAAAGAGAGGAGGAGAGGGGGAAGGAAGAGAAGAGAGAGAGAGAGAGGGGGAGGGAAGAGAGGTGAGAGAGGGGGGAGGAAGGGAGCAGAGAGAGGGGGGAAGGAGAGAGGAGAGAAAGAAGCGAGAGAGGGGGGCAGAAGAGAGGCGCGAGAGGAGGGAGGAATAGAGGCGACATAGCAGGGCATAAGAGAGGCGAGAGAGAAGGGAACAAGAGGGGCGATAGACGGGTGGGGGGAGGGAGGAGAGAGATCAGGGGGGAAGAAGAGAAGCGAGAGAGGGGGAGGACGAGAAGCGAGAGAGGGGGGAGGACGAGAAGCGAGAGAGGGCGGAGGAAGAGAGGACAGAGAGGGGGGAGGAAGAGAGGAGAGAGAGGGGGACGACGAGAGGAAAAGAGGGGCAAGGAAGAGAAGAGAGAGAGGGTGGGGGGGGAAGAGAGGTGAGAGAGGGAGGAGGAAGAAAACAGAGAGAGGGGGGAGGGAGAGAGGAGAGAGAGGGGGGAGGAAGAGAGGAGGAGAGGAGGAAGGAAGAGAAGAGAGAGAGAGAGGGGGAGTAAGAGAGGCGAGAGAGGGGGGAGGAAGAGAAGGGGGAGAGGGGGGAGGAAGAGAGGCGAGAGGAGGGGGAGGAAGAGAGGCGAGAGAGGGGGAGGAAGAGAGGAGAGAGAGGGGGGAGGAAGAGAGGAGAGGCCTGGGGGAGGAAGAGAGGAGAGAGAGGGGGGAGGAAGAGAGAGGATAGATCAGGGAGTGCGATAGGCAAGAAATGAGGGAGGTAGAGAGGCGAGAGGCAAGGAGGGGAAGAGACCAAAGAGAGTTGGCGGGAAGTGAGGCGAGAGAGCAGGGAGAATGAGGGGAGAGTGAGGGCGGCGGAAGAAGAGAGAGAGGGGGGGAGGAAGAGAAGCGAGTGAGGGGGCAGAAGAGAGGCGCGGGAGGAGGGAGGAAGAGAGGCGAAGCAGCAGGGAAGAGAGCGGGGCGTGAGAGAGGGAGAAAGGCGAGGGGGCAGGAACATGGAAGAGAGGAGTGAGGGCAGGGGAGGGAGAGAGGTGTCAGGGGGGGGAAGAGTGAGGGCTGAAGGAGAGGGGTAGTGGATTGAGAGCAGGGGAGGGGGCGAGGGGCGTTAAAGAAGGGGGATGACATGCGGAATGGGGACTTTAGAAGGGGAAACGGCATCACTGAAATCAGCTGTCCCAAAACTGTCCGAGAACAGACATTCCGGGCAGAAATAGGTGTCTTTCCGGAATGGTGTTTCGGACAGTTTTCCGAATGAAGATATGATGGTTGCGGGGTAGAACCCGGACACTTTTGGGATTGCTCTCGGAATGGAAACTGTCCGACAACTGGCCCTAAAGTGTCTGTACAGTGTTCCCTAGGCATCGCATAAACTGTCCAATTCATCCTCGCTAGTAACTCTCGATTGTTTTGTACAAGTCATGCTACGATTAAACACTTTATTCTACATGCCATATATTCTAAATACATTAACAGTGGATTATAAATATAACATACCCATTTCCATGGAAGGAAAACACATAATGCGACTAACAAAAGTCTGGACCTGCAACTTTGGCCAGAGCACACCAAATGAAAGCCGTGCAAAAGACGAGGCAAACAATGCGCAACAAAATTTTTAAGCACAAGAGTTGAAATACAGACATAAAAGGCAATTCTGAACAGGAAACGACCATCATTCATGCGAGCAATGGGACGCTGGAGTGTGGGCAGAATGACGGGGCTCGGCCGTCGCCTTGATAGTGGAAAAAGGAAAGACAGAATAAAACTCAGGTAGCTGAGATAATAAATACTTACCTCTATATACTGTGGCATCGATCTGGCATGCGATGAGAACCCTGGAGCGTGTGCAAAAATACACGTGCATTTGCTTGCCGACAGTGCATCATGGTGAAAAAATAAAGGACTTCCGCGCGAAAGCAACCTAACGCAACACGAAAGTAAAGAATCACGCGGTTACGGCGTCGGAAAAAAAAAAAAAAAAAAAATCGCCGCCAATAATTGTCACGTCTTATATCGACGAATGCAGCCGCGTGTTGGTAGAAATAGTCCAGAGCGCAATATTAGGCCTGCGCTGATCAAACAAGGAAATAAAAAACGGAATCGATAAGCTACGACGTAGAAAGAACCCGTCAAAACGGCGGCTGGATCGGTATTGGCAGTAATGACGAACAAGCCGAGCTACGATCTGAAATGGCGAAGTGCAAGTAAGAAATGACGGTGAGAGTAGGGGGATGAAGGTGAAGACAGGAATGCATGGCTTGGGTTTGGTTTGGTTGGGAGGGGCGAGGTTTGGGCAGATGACGTGGCATTATGTAATAAGTCTGGGTTCCGAATCGTAGTGTGGATAAGTTTGGTTTGCGGCTTGGGTACGCGAGGGTGTTTCGTAGGTTGACGAAATACACCATTTCGTGAAACTATGTGACAGTATCGATTTGTGGTTTCGGGACCGTTAGATCATTACCGAGCTGATCTAACGGCAATTTTTTCCCGAAATTTTCAATCAACGGTAATCTGAATTTTGACGAGAAAATTGGATTTTCAGCCGTCCGATCAAACAAAACCAGACCTGGGCAACTCTCCCTAGCCTATTCTGTCCCCTGAGTGGCCTAGCCTCCTCCGAGCTTAGATTGGTTCGGGACAGGTGGCGGCCACTTTTCAGAAGGTGGTTTGGAGCATGAGATTTTGGAGGGAATGGGGATTGTTTCGAGGCAGGTTTCGGACAGTTTTCGGACCGCTTAATTTCAGGATACTTTTGGGGCGTTCACTTTCTGGTGGCGGGGAAGAGGGGGAGTGGAGGGCAGCGAGGTTTGGGTGGATGGGTCTGCCCCATCTCGACCTCTCTTCTTCCGTTCCGCACCTCTCTCCTCCCCTTTCCGCACCTCTCTCCTCGCCTTTCAGCCTTAACCATGCCCGCAGCTAGCTCGCAGCCGCGGAGACTTCTACCGGTACATCTCTCAGCGACCGAACCATGGGTGCACCCTATGCCTTGGTTTCAGCGCTTCTCTGCGGGGAAAACGAGGCTCCGGGCCACCATTGCATCCTATATTTCAGCTCTCCTCGCGTCGGCTTGCCAGCGACGAGTCCAGCTCCTAGCATCGCATTGCGCCATGAGATAGGCGACTCCCAGGGTCGCTCCACGTGTGTAACAGGCGTTGCCGACATACTTACGGGTTCCTCTCTTGGCGTTTCATATTGCAGTCGTGTATCTCCTACTTGCATGCGTAATGCACAAAGTTTTCATTTGCGAGTAAATGTCGTACTGACCAAAAGAGGAAAGCAGAAGAAAGTTTTGCCCTATTGGGTCCTGCGTACAAGTGAGGGGCATTGCGACACTTAGGCCTATGAGGTATTGGCCGCATATTCTGCCCTCTGCTTTTGTCGCGCGAGCCTTCATTTTTCTAGCTCTCGTCTTGTACGCGTATGTCGCTCCTCTCTACTCAGCGCGGTACACGCTGGGGTGATGAGTTTGCTGACACGTGTGTTTCTGGAACGCGTATTGTTGGGTTTGGTGGTGCGAGCAGATTGACTCTGTTTGGCAGGGAATTTGTCTTTCGGCTGTTGCGATTGTATTTCAGTTTGCGAATTTGAGTTTTGGGCATTGTGTTTGCGCACGGTTGTCTTCCATGTTTGGTCCCTCGCAGCCAATCATAAGGGGTTCGCGCCAACCTGAGTCGCGTTTTGTAAATCTGCTTTTCGCAGCTTGCAACTTGGGACATGGGCTTTAATCCTCTGTATGCCCCGCTACAGTACATCTTTCGCACTGGATATCGGCCGATGAGGTCGTGGCTTCCAGCTGCAGGGCTCGCGCTTTCTGTTTTCCCCCCCATGCATTCCCCCGTTGCCCCCCAGGGCAATGTTTGGGAGGCACGAGGGGACCCACGCTGAGGAAGAGGGGTCGAAAGGGAGGGGTGGTCAAACCAAGGTCAATGCTCAACGACCCCTACCTCGGACGCGACTCTGCGGAGTTGCGCTTGGGGGGGGGGAAATGGGGAAGGTTGGGGGGGGAAAAGGAAAGCGCCTGTCTTCCCTCCAGAAGGCCCGACTCCTATAGCCTAAAACCGCACGCTGGAATTCACTATAGCCGGGCAACGCACGTGCTTGTCTAAGACAGTTAGGTTGCCATGGAATGGCGGGATGTTAAACCTAGTCGCTAGAGAGAATATTGTCTAGTCGATTGCGTGTACACCGCATGCATGCTGGTGTGTTTTCTGCTCTCTGGCTTTTCCCATCAACTACTTTCCTGAAGCATGTGTATTCCCTTAGAGCCGCGGCACACATTCACTTCAATTTGTTTCAAGTGACAAACATTTGAAAAAGTTGTAGCTGAGTGATGCCTGCTAGAGGTGGCGAGATCTCAATACCTGCAGATAAACATTTGAGGGGGGGTCGTAGCATTTGGCATTTGACAGTCGTGGCATTTGAGGCGATTGTCACCTCTCGACTCATCCCCCTTCCCCTCACGTTTTCCCAACCTCCTTCCCCCACGTTTTGGATTGCCCCTTCCCCCAACAATCTTGATTCCCCCTGGCCCCCTAATTTCGAAACGCCCCCCCTGCCCCCTCGAATTTGATTCCCCTGGCCCCCCAATTTCGAAGCCCCTATGCCCCCCCAAAATTTGATTCGCCCTACCACCCCTCGCTCGTCCAACTCCCCCCGTCAATTCCGTTCCCTCCTTCCCCTCTCTAGTCCGATTCCCCCCCAATCAAGTTCAATCCCCTCCACCCCTTGCACTTCGTTCCGCTAGTCAAAGTTCGATTCCCCCCACCTACCCTTTGCGATTTCCCCGTGAAGTTCGATTCCCCCCACCCCTCGCAATTCTAACTTCCCCCGGTCAATTTCGATTCCCCCCACTCCGCGAAATCCAATCCCTCCAACGCAATTCCGATTCCCCAGTATCGCAAGTCAAAATTCCCCCTCGACGAAACTCAGCCCAATTCGCGTCAATACTTTTCTTTCTCCTCTCGCCCTCCAATCACTTCTGTCCCCCTTTCTTGTCCTCCACATTTCTATCCCGAGACGCATTGAATGTGTACCACGGCTTTAAAGCCCAACCGGCAGGTTGCAAGTAAGTTCAGCTCAAGATGCATCATCTTGAGCACTTGTTACAGGGAAGCAATCGCTGAACTGTCTGAGTTGGCCAAGCTGGCTCAAGCTGAACCCTCGACAAACTTGGCTGTATGGCAGTCCCTAGGGTAGGAAACAGAGCACGAGTAGAAAGTAATTTCCCGCGCGCTTGACAATTTAGAGGCGTAAACGCGCGAATACACTTCCACTATTGCGCGTTTTTTGGAAATTGGAACCACTGAACGGATTTTACTATTGTAAACTTGTCGGGGGTAGAAAGCAGGGTTACCAAGCATCGGAAAAAAACTTTCAAGGCAGGAGCGAAACTTGGCACTGCTGCCGAGTTGAGCCCCTGCCAAATAAGAGGCACAAAACTTGGCACTCCTGCCAAGTTTCCAACCCTCGCGGCACTCACACGCAAGAAGGTACCTTAGCGAACACAAACCTTCGACATGAAATTTCGTAAGACCTAATGCTCGTCAGCCAATCATCTGCTGTCGGCCCACCTACCTCAACAGTGTCAATATGCAACCTGCCGGTCGGGCTTTAATTTCGTACTACCCGAGTCCCGAGGACCAGAATTGGGTTCCTGCACAGATTCGACAAGAGGCAGGAACTCATTTTGGGTCCCCTCACAGGCTGGTGGAACTCTTCCGCTATGGGGGAATGGTTCCCTTGGACCGAGCAGGGGACCCATTCTGGTCTGGTCCCCGAGCCGCGTTTTTGGCCCTGGTTTGGGCCGCTTTTGCGAGTTTTGGGCTTTGCCCGCGGTGTAGAGCCCTAGCTCGGCTGTTGGGAATCTTCCTCAGGAAGGTTCATTGGGTCCCCTCGAATGTATCCCTAACATTGCCCAGGTCAGAACAAACCTAGACGCAACGTCGGAAACTACTAAAACGGACAGCGGAAACAGCCTGGTTTCCGCCCGTGAGTGTCATCTTCCAGACCTCGGCTGATTGGTTGCGTTTTGGCGAAGGGTGTATTGCGGGTCGTCCGGGTGGCGAAGTGGGTATTCGCGAAATTGCAACACACCGAGTTGAATGGCTCGAAGGGCGTGGGACATTGGTCACGAAACCCAAAATTCGTACAGTAACGGGCATCGATGTTTGGGCAGTACGAACAGGCCCGACGGAAGTGAGAACCGGCCCGTGAACTGCCCCCCCTTGGAGGTTCCACTTTCCGAAGTTCCAACTTTCAAAATTCGAAGATTTGGGTTACGAATTTGACGACAATTTTCGGCGAACGAAGCCATCGCAAAAATTCGCAAATCCGCTGGCATGCAAATTGGTTGGCGGGCACGAAACGGAACGTTCGCTGTTGCTCGGTGGGCTTTCTTTTCGCGCCCGCTTTTCGTGCACAGCACAACATGCCGACTTTGCTGTCGTTTCGAAAGTGTAGGATTGGCCGTTCGAACGGTGGAAGTCGTGACGCATGTTCCTGCGTTATGAATCTTGGCGATGGTTTTTGGTACGAAGAGAATGGACGAAATTGACGACAATGTAACCCCATTAAAATTCATACAGTCTTCGAAATTACGAATTGGAGGTCCCACGCCCTTAGGGCACACTCCACCGAAACCAACTGAGGGCGTGGTACTTCAGAAAAACATGCCCAAGTTGCGTAACTCGGGAGCAATTCACGAAATACTGGCAAGCGCAACCCGATGCTGGAACCTCGGATTGCGCTTTTCGGGTGGGAATTGTAACTCATCTAGAACATCGGGTTGCGCTCAAAGAATGCGAAGTGCCTGAATTTGAACACGAAACATCCGTTACCATATTTCTGGAGCGAAATCAGTTGTCGCATTTCGAAGCAAGAAAAATTTTAGAGCTGCACAACCCGGGTTGTGGATCTCTCTCAGTCTGTTCGCCAACTTGGTTGACGAGTTTTAACGAAAAAGTTACTTTCACGAGCTGCTCAACTGGGCCAAGTTGCGCAACCTATATTTTGCCGAAGCACCACGCCCTAGCGAGACGAACTACCGTTGGAAAATGCTACGAGCATGATTTTTGCTGCCATTAGGGCTCCAAGTCAAGGTACCTCAAGTGACTACAGTTAGCAGCATCGAGTTGCTTTAGGGACCTTCCTAGGGGAACCGTACTTTGAGGGATCATCCAATAGTCGATTTGATCTCAGCCGTTCGTAATGGCGTGTTCTTTCGCTTCACGGCTTCCATCGGTAGCGCCTATTCAAAACTCCTTGAAATGCGAACAGCCTTATAAGCCTAGCTCTGGGGCATGGCTTCATGGAAACCACGAGATTCCACTCAGCTCTATTTTCCCTTCACGGAAAAGCATGTGCCAGCTCGGAATCAACTCCCTGGACCGACCTTCGCGAAAAGCCGTTGTCAGGATTCGAACCTGGGACCGCAGCCTGGCAATAAGGTGTGACGCCGGAAAGCCGTTCAAGCCGGCAGAAGCTCCAAAGGCAGAGGTCGCGGATTCCGGAATTGAAGGAAGATTCGAGAGCAGCTCAGCCCTGATGGCCGGGACAGAGATCGGGATTCATTCCTTTGGGGAAGAGGCGGTGGACAGAAGGGGAGGAGAAGGGGAGGGGAGTGTGAGGCTAGTCGGGGGCGGGGAGGCGGGGGATAAGGAGGGTGGGCATAAGAGGAGTGGGGGGAGAGCAGGGAAAGCGGCGGGTAGTAAGAGTGAGGGAGCAGAGAGGAGGACTAGAGGGAGGGGAGAACGCGAGGAGGAGGAGAAGGAGGAGGAGGTGGCAGTGGCATTGATTGCTCAAGCGCTGATGGAGAAATTTGGGCCTCAGATTGTGAGAGGAGAGTTGGAAGAGAGTCCTGGAAACGGAAGGAATGCGCATGACATAAGGGGGGGGGGACTGCAGGAGTATAGAGCGGACACTGAGGCAGAGGGAGAAGACCAAGGGGAAGAGGAGGCCAAGAGAAACAGGAGCGAGAAAGACTCTTCAATAATCACGTCTCGTTCCGCACCTACTACTACTCCGCACCCCTATGCACGTGCAACCTCTCCCTCCTCCCTCCGCTCCCTCTACCGCTTCTTCTCCTCCCAGCTTGGCATCTCCTCTTCTTCCACTGTCGCCTCCCTCCTCGCTTCCCACCCCGCACTCCTCCGCTCCGATCCCACCACTGACCTCCTGCCACGTGTCCGTCTCCTCCAGTCATATGGCGTATGCCAAGCCGACATGGTCCACGCCACCATGACAAACGCATCTTGGCTCCGAACCTCCCTCCCTCAAATTCGGGAAATGCTGGAGTTTCTATTGGCTTGAGGCGTCCACCGAACCAGGTTGGGCTTTGTGCTCCTGCGTGGGCGAGGCTTAATCCGCTCGCAGGCACGTTCAACGAACCTGGACATTCTGGTGGAAAGAGCAGGGGTTCCTATGAACAAGCTGGGTGTGATTATAGAGCGATGCCCAAATATCTTAAGTCGGAGCGAAGAATCATTAGTGTCCCAGCTGGAGCTATTGTCGATCTACTTCACGGAGGGATCTGGGGGAGAGTCTGAAGCAGAGAGCGCCAGCGTGGGGAACACGAAGCCGCGATCGAATGAGCAGCAGCTGGTCTACAACCACCTAGCCCGGCTTATCCTGAAAAACCCTTCCATCCTCGAACTTTATTCTCGCCGCATCTCTTCAAACCTCGCCATTCTCCAGTCCTTCACTCCCCCAGGCAGTCCCTCTATCGCTAGCACTGTTCTCAACCATGTCCCGAGCATCCTCAGTTTCAGCTCAGAAACTCTTTTAGCTAAGCTCCAGTTCTTTGTGGAGCTGGAAGGGGAAGAGACGGCAGGGAGAGTGGTGCGGAGTTACCCGCAGGTGCTTCAACTGTCGAGGAAGAATCTGCAAGGCACGATGGATATTGTGGCCGATCTGATCGGACGTGAGAATGGTGTGCGTGCAGTGGCACGATTCCCGCTGCTCTTGAAATCAAGTGCAGGTAACTTGCAGGAGAGCTTTCGAGAGCTGGTGCACGAAGTGGAAGGCGCGTTGGATAGCAGTGACAGGGAGACACGGGGCTTGGAAAAAGGTGGGGGAGATGAGTTGGTGGACGGGAACAGTGGGTCTCAGGCTCAAAACAGAGCAGAAGAAGGAAGGAGAAGCAAGGCCCATCTTTTGGTGGTGGGCCTAGTGGAGAAGTTTCCTCCTTCCATCTACTACAGCTGGGAAGAGAACCTGAAGCACAAGGTGGAGTACTTAAAGCGGGACATGGGGCTCTCTATAATGGAGGTGCTTGTCTTTCCTACCTTCCTTGGTTTCAGTTTGGATCGGCGAATCAAGAAGCGACATGTGGCCCTGCTGAACATGGGCTATGTGGTTGTTCCGCATGAGGTAATCGTTCAGAAGATGAGTGGAGGTGGGAGAGGGAATCTGGTTGGAGCCGGGGAGCAGGGGATGGAGCAGGAAGATCGAGGATTGCACGAGCCGAGGGAAATGGTGTGCTTGCACCAGTTTCTTCACTGTACAGACACCAAGTTTGAGGGCAAGTTCAAGGTCAAGCTCTAGGAGATCCAATCATTTGTCAGTTGATGTGGTCTAGCATTGCTTGCATTGCATGATGCATCCTCTCATTGGTGCATATGCAGTATGCAAACAAGATAATATCTGTTGGGCTGAGAAATGCCCTTAGGATCTTTTGCAGAGACTAAGTCCCAGCTGTAGAGACTTGAGACTTGGAGTAGTGCAGCGGAAGTTGAGACAGTTGAACCCTTGTACTAGTATGTGAGAACAAGTGATTAATTAAAGAAACAAGCATACAGCAATATATAGAAGATAAGAAAGCAGTTGTAGAATACAGTTACAGGAACGGTTTATCGAGTCGCACAGCGACTCGATTGCCGCTTCGGTTACCATCCGTGATGTTGTAACGGTCAGTCGCAACCTCCAGTTGCGACCTTTCGAGTCTTTTCGCATTCTTTGTCCGCCCCCTCGTGTAACCTCCGTTGACTCGCGTGCTCCCCTGTAATCTTCCTCGAGTACAGTGTTACACTTCAGAAACGCTTAAGTCCTTGAGATATTTCCAACACTCCCCTTCGTTTCTGGAGTGCTGGAGTGTTCAGATCCGGTGACGTTTGTTTGCCCGGTTAGGAGCATGCAGTAGTCGAATTTTGCTTTCGCCAATTTCTTCGTCAGATAATCTGCGGCCATTTCTGTCGTCGGGCAGTAACTGAGTTGAAGTCTCCCCTTCGCGATTTCATCCTTGACGAAGAAGTACCGTAGGGCGATGTGCTTGGTTCGGTTGGCGAAGCCGTCCTTGTTCGCGATTTTGATCGCAGATTGGTTGTCGCAGAGGAGTGAAAAAGGCGGGCAGGGTCGCGATCTTCGCTTCTTCGAGTAACTCTCGTAGGTAGAGTCCTTCCTTGGTCGCAGTACAAAGGGCGATATACTCTGCTTCAGCCGAGGATAGTGCGATTAACTCCTGCTTGCTCGACTGCCAGGAGATAGTTCCGATAGGTTCAAGTCGGTAGATGTAGCCCGTCCTAGACCGTCGATTTTCGCTGTCTCCCGCGTGGTCGGCGTCGACGTATCCGAGTAGTCGTACGGACGGTGTTGTTGCCTTGCTGTAGGTGAGCCCGATCGTCGGCGTGGAGACAAAGTAGAGTAGCGCTCGATTGAGTTCTTCGAGATCTTCCTGTTGCGGCTGCTTCAGATGTGTCGCCAGCTGACTCGCACTATAGGATAGGTCGGGTCGGCAGGTTACTGCTGCGAATAATAGGCAGCCGAGCTTCTGTTGATACTCCTGGATTTGTTTCGCGGGGAGTTTTGTGGAGGCGCTACTGTTGTTCCCGTAGCGGTAGGGAGTTGGGACCGCAGTCGGTGCTAGACTGAATTTCTTCGCGACGGTGCTTGAGTACTTTCCAGCGTGTAGGTAGAACGCCGTGTCGTCTTCGACGATGTTCAGTCCTAGGTACTGGGTAACTTCGTCGGACACCGTGAGAGTTAAATCTTCTTTCAGCTCCCCTTCGAACCAGGTGGCGATGTCGATAGTGGAGCCGATGTAGAGCAGGTCGTCGACGTAGACGATGAGCAGAACATAATCTCTTCCCTTCTGCAGTCGGTACATCCCTTGGTCATGCGGTAATTGTAGGAAGCCGATCTTTGCGAGACGGCCGTGGAGATGCTGCTGCCAGAGCCGCGGGGCTTGCTTGATCCCGTATAGGGATTTTGTCAGTCGGCATATTTTCGTGGGATCGTTGATGAATCCGTGGGGTTGTTCGACGAAGATCTCAGCGTCCACAGGTGCGTATAGGAATGCATTCGCGACATCGATTTGGCGTAGTGGCAGTTTTTTCGTGGCCGCGACGGCGAGTAGGATGCGTAATGAGGTGTGACGGGAGACTGGAGCGAAGGTTTCTGTGTAGTCGGCTCCGTATCGTTGGTCGAAGCCTCGTACGACCCATCGAGCTTTGAATCGTTCGATGGAACCGTCTGAGTTGGTCTTGATGCGGTACACCCATTTCCCCGAGAGAACGTTTTTCCCGTTGATGCTCGTTGCAGGTACCAGTTTCCATGTTTCTCGGTCTTGCAGAGCTTTTAACTCCTTTTCCATTGCTTCCTTCCATCTTGCCTTATGTTCCCCCCCCAGAGCCTGCGACAACGTTGAAGGCTCTCGCGGAGAAGGCGGCGGCGGATTCTGGACGGAGACCCAGAGGCCTAGAATCTGGAGTCCCGTGGGCGTGTGTCGAGGGGAATTTTCATTCCCGGAATAAGCTGCTTCGTCACCGTCTTCGGGGTCAGGTAAGAAATTGGGGCCGATGCGTTCCGAAATATTCGTGTCGACGGGGTGAGGTGTAGCGTAACCTTGGTCGGCGAAGTGGTAAAAGGTGTCGAGGTTGTTGCTATCGAGGGAATTATCTTCATCGAGTGGAACAGGTACGGAACAGAATGGGAGTGGTCCGGCAGCTTCCGAGGCTCCAGGTACGTCTTCTTCTGCTGCGTCAGCCTCGGCAGTATGGTCAGCGAAGGAGCGAAGGCCCGCGAAGCCGTCGGTGGGGTCTTGTGTGTTGGCAAGGTTGTCCAGGTAATGCTGCAGCGTCAGTCGTTCGTAGAAGATAACATCTCGTGATGCCACCGTGTTTTTGTCTTGTATGTCGAGAATTTTCCACGCGTGAAAATGTTTTGCGATGCCGAGGTGTAGTCCCCATCGAGCTCTTTGTGAGAAGCGTCCTGCTCGGGCTGTGTGGGGTCTGTACTGTACCATGCAGCCGAAAACGCGGAGTAATTTTGTGCTGCCCCTTTTTCTTGTCCACAACAGGTGCGGTGATGCGTTGTTGGGAAGTGATGACGAGGACAGCAGGTTGTGCAGGTGAACAGCATGTGTCATCGCGTCTGGCCACAGTGCGTTGGGCAGCCTCATCCCCAGAAGCAGTTTTCGCATCGTCGTCTGCAAGGTCCGGTTCATGCGTTCTGCTACCCCCTGCTGCTGGTGAGCATAGGGCAGAGACACCAGGCGTCGGATTCCCCTTTCCGCGAGATAGGTCCTGAAGCGTTGTGACTGGTATTCCAGTGCACCGTCTGACTGGAAACTCTTGAGTTTGAGTCCTGATTCTCGTTCGGCGATGGGGAGCCATGTTGTGAAGGCTTCGAAGGCTTGGTCGCGCGTTTTGAGATTGAAGTGCCAGACATATCTGGTTGCGGCGTCGATGAAAGTGATGACGTAGTTAAAGTCGGCTTCGGCGTCGTCTCGAGGCATGTTTAAAATATCGCTGTAGACTTTTTCCATCGGAGCGTAAGTAGGTGCGCTTGGGTTGTGATGGGATGGAAAAGGTTGATGAGGAAGATCTGCTTCGGGGCATGTGAAGCACCGTGCGCGTGGTCGTCGAAGTTCTTGACCGCTCGTCGTCAGAAGGGCGTTGCGTTCTAACACCTCTGCTTGGATTGTTTGAAGTATTGTGCTGTTTGCAGGGTGTCCGAGGCGTTGGTGCCAGATGTCGTCGGGAGCACGGTGACCGGGCGAGCGGTGGTAGATGTCGGCGTTGGAGAAGAACGCGACGACCGAGGCGGGATTTCGACAAGCTTCTCGTGTGGCGGGCATAAGTTGGTCTGCTTCCGTTGGCGGTCCTCGTGTTGATGGTGGTGGTACTCGGCTGGGTCCTGCTGCCGATACTGCAGGTGATGGTTTTGTTGGGACACTTGCGGGGACTTGTCTTTCTTGTCTGATAACTGCTAATGCTCGTGTTCTCTCTGCTGCAGGTATGGTGTTGGAGTGCCAGAAGCCGTCACTGTCGAAGTCGGGATCAAGATCTGGCGGGTGAGTCCAGGCGGCGAACGATACGATGCCATCGCTGTCGGCAGTTCCGCGGTCGGGGACGAAGTCCAACACGAAGACACCGGACTTCAGGAGGGCACGACCGATGAAGAGGCCGCCCTTCCCGTGGTAAAGCCGGAACTCGTTGGAGT